GTGGGAGCAGCGGGACTCAGTACCGTGGTCTGGTGGTCCGGTGTCCTCTTTATCTTTGTAGTGTGGAACCAGGTGGCTGCCTGTCTGCAGCAGGGTGATTTGACGTCTTCCACGTGACTCAGGACCTCGGTAGGGCATGCACAGACCTGCCTGTCTGCACCGGGCTGATTCGTTGTGTTCTATGTGACTCAGGACTTCGGTAGGGTGTGCACAGACCTGCCTCCAGATATTTTCTTTTTAAGTCTAAGCAGCAGCAGATTGGCTCTGGGGCAGTACGCAAAGGGAGTGGATCTAAACTGTGTATTTACTGTCTCTTTAGGAAATGGATCGAACATTCCAAACTGAGGGAAATTAACTTTAAAATTGTGGAATTCAACCCTACAGTCCTCGAGGGGAAGATCAGACCAGACTCGTCGAGGCCTGAATTGCTCCAGCCTGTGAGTAGGAGTCACGTGAGTCCTCGGGAGGCCTTGCTCAGTGTGGAGCTCTGGTCAGCAGGATGCACAGCCTCAGTGTTAGATCTGCTTACATATAAAGCCCTCACGGCAGAAGACATTCAAGATTGTTTACATAGGCAGAATAAAGTTACTGCAAAGAAACGAGGCATGCCGGGGATTTAGCTCAGTGGTTTTGCCGCCTGCTGCACAAGTGCAAGGGCCAGAGTTCGATCCCCGGTACCAGAAAAAAAAAAAAAAAGAAAAAAAAGAAGAAACGAGTAAAAAATGTAGGTTGGAGCTGGGCACAGCAGCACATGCCTGCAAGCCCAGCACTTGGGAAGCTGAGGCAGGAGGATCACTGTGAGCTTGAAGCCAGCTTGAACTACATAACCTAGTTTAAAACTATGTCTCGAAGAATGTGTGTGATTGTTTGGGGTGGGCAGCCAGGTAGTGGCCAGGAAAGCCCCCAACCCTTAGGCTGTTGTGTGCACGTTGCTTGTGCACTGCATTCAGCTCTGGGCAGTCGAGCAGCTCCGAAGCACCCTGGCCTGTGATACGATCTTCCCACCGCTGCAGATGTTTTTTGTCGGACTGGGCGCTGAATTGGGACTGAGATGGGGCTGCCGCTAAGGAACTTTAAAACCCTCACCAATGCCCACTTCCGGGACCTTTTTCTGGCTGGAGGGCTGAAAGGCTGACCAGTGCTGGTTTGGTGTGCATGCGTGGAAGTGCGTGAGGCTGATTTCGTAGCGTTATCGCGATGACCGTGCCTGGGGAGATGGGCAAGCTGTGGGCCACACACTGGCCAGGAAACTTGGGGCCAGGGAACCTCGGGACCCTGCTGCAGTGTCCAGGGGGGAAGTGCGCAGGACGCTGACCTGGAGTCCTGCTGAGCACAGAGAGAGGTCCCCAGGCCTAGAGAGGAGGCTTCCTCCTCCTCCTCCTCACCCTTCGACCCCTCCGGAGGTGGCAGGTGTGGCCAGGGTCAGCACCGACACTGCAGTCCCCACACTTGAGCCTCTACCTCTTCTCTACTCATGGTCTCTTGTTTTGACAGCTGAACTTCGTTCGATTTTATCTCCCTCTGCTTATCCACCAACACGAGAAAGTCATCTATTTGGACGATGATGTCATTGTGCAAGGTACAATCACAGCCAGGAGCGCTGGGGCAGAGGCAGCTGAGGACTGGGATGCCAGGCTCTCCACTCTCCACGAAGCCGGTGGCCCAGGCATCCGATGCTTATTACAGCAGGGAGTGCAGCCCGGGCACCATGTGGACTACTGTGAAAGCGGGGTTGAAAGCTCCCTGGCCAGTCCAGTTGGCTTTGATGGCCACCCTGATTATCTATCGGGTCTGCCGGAAGTAGCATGGTAGCCGTTCCCTTCTCTGGATCCCTAAAATGTGCAGAGCTGGGCGTGGCGGCACATGCCTGCAAGCTCAGCACTTGGGAGGCTGAGGCAGGAGGATCGCTGAGTCCGAGGCCAACCTGGACTACACAGTGAGACTGTCTCAAGAAGAAGAAAGTGCAAGAATAGTTTCACTGATGGCACTCTTAGCGACCTAAATTTGGGTGTGTTTTTCTATTTTTTTTGAGTCTGTGAAATTCAGGCTGGCCTTGAACTCACTTTGTCACCCAGGCTGGGCTCAAATTCGCAGTGATCCTCCTGCCTCAGCCTCCCGAGTGCTGGGATCACAGGTGTGCACCATCACCCTCGGCTCCTGAGTTTGGGTGTTTAAATGTCGTGCTCTAGCCCTTCCATGTGCCAAGAGCGTGAGCATCACCCTGGGCGCCCCACAGCAGCCGATCCGACTCAGGGCACCCCACTGGCGGCTCTCGAGACGGGCACAGCTTTCACTAAGCAGCTGCTGGGCTGCCCAACTTCAGGGCTGCCCCTCCCCGCAGCGAGCTCTGCAACTGTCTAAGCTCACAGTGCTTCCATCCCTGCACTGTGTGCTGTGCTATGTGACTGCGGGCTCTGTGACCAGGTGACATCCAGGAGCTGTACGACACTACCCTGGCGCTGGGCCATGCAGCAGCGTTCTCAGACGACTGCGATCTGCCTGCAGCACAGGACGTCAGCAGGCTCGTGGGGCTGCAGGTGGGCAGCGGCCAGGCGGCCCCCCCCCCCGCCAAGAGCAGGCCCCCGGAGGATAGCGCAGGGGTGTGGGCCGCCCATTCCTGTCCCCGTCCCTCCTCCTTCACCCGGGCAAGTCCCACTCTCATCTGAAACGCGACCTCGGGTGTTACCATGAGTGGAAATGAAATAACATGACTTCCACGTGTCCCTTGCGTGGTGAGTGACCCAGACCCAGCTGTTAAGTTGTTCATCAGCACACTCAGTGCTAGTGGAGGTGTCTTCTGTGAGACTCCCTGAACTGGGGGCCCTATCCACCCGCCTCTGTTTTTGAGATAGGGTCTTGCCCAAGGTGGACTGGAACTTGAGATCCTCCTGACTCAGCCTCTCAGAGTGCCATGACTACAGTTGCGCAAAAACCAGCTTTTTTTCCTTAGTAGAGGAAAATATTAATTATTGTTAAAAGATAGTAATGCTAGCATAAAAAAAAAAAAAAAAGCTTTGCCTGAAATCCCAGCAATTGGAAGGCTGAGGCAGGAGGATTGTTGCAAGTTCCGAGGCCACCCTGGGCTACACAAAATTCAAGGTCAGCCTGAACTGCATAGGGAGACCCTGTCTCAAAAAAAACCACCATGTTTTGGAAACAGAAGACCCCTGTTCCCTCACAGAACACATACATGGGCTACCTGGACTACCGGAAGAAGACCATCAAAGACCTGGGCATCAGCCCCAGCACCTGCTCCTTCAGCCCCGGCGTGATGGTCGCCAACATGACGGAATGGAAGCAGCAGCGCATCACCAGGCAGCTGGAGAAGTGGATGCAGAGGAACATGGAGTGCGTGCTGTCCCTCTGCCCTGTCCCCACGCTCGGGGACAACACATGCGGTTCATTTCCTATTCGTAGCTTGGGCCTTAGAAGCACTTCCTGACCCTCTGAGGGCAGATTCTTTCTTTGGTACTGGGGATTGAACACGGGACCTTGCGCTTGTAAGGCAGGTGCTGGAACCATGGAGCTAAATCCCCGGCCCTTTGAGGGCAGATTCTTATAGACACTGTGGACAAAGAATAGGGCACAAATGAGAGGCTTTCTGCAAATGACAGGAGACAGGAAAATGGAGACCCCAGGGACAAGGAGTCCCTGCTCTACATCCGCCTAAGTTGTTCAGTAATGTGGCTCTCAGTGAAAATCTTCCAACAAACACTTGTTTTAAAGGGATTATTTTGTAAAGCCGATGTTCCTCTTTAAAGTTGGGTATTTTTTTAGGTTTTTTTTTTGGAGACACAGTCTCGCTGTGCAGTCTAGACTGGCCTTCAACTAGGTAGCTCAGGCTGGATCAGAACTCTCAGCACAAGGTCCTGAGTTCAATTCCCAGTACCCTACCCAAAAAAAACCTCTTAGCCTCCCCAGTGCTGGGTTTACAGATGTATACCACCACATCTGGCCAAAGATTGGCTTTTTTAATTTATAATTTTTCATTCTGAAAGTTTTAAAAAAGAACATAAAATAACTAATACAACCATGACTATCACGTCATTGTATTTCCTATTGATCTTTCCTATCTGGATATTCTGATACCATCATAATCTTGAATTTTAAGGAAAGCTATTCCAAATAATGCAGGATCATAACTTTGTTTTTTTGGTACCAGGGATCGAACTCGGGACCTTGCGCTTGTGAGGCAGGCGGCAGAACCACTAAGCTACATCCCCGGCCCTGCAGGATCATAATTTGATCTTCCACGTCTACCACAGAAAAAAGCCTGAGAGTTAAATTACCAAAATATTAACATTGTGACTCTAAGAGGTATCTATGGGAGTCCACAGTTAGACGATTTTTTTTTTTTCTTTTGAGACAGGATCTCGGTAAGTTGTTCAGTCTGGCCTTGAACTCCAGGCAATCCTCCTGCCTCAGCCTAAGTGCTGAGATCACAGGTATGCACCACCACACCTGGCTTGACAATTTTCAAAGTAAGAATTTTGGAAAAATGAAAGGCCCAAAGTTCGACTGTACAAACAATGTCTTACGTCTTTTGAAAGAACTGTTAGGTGCTTTCTGTGAGCCTGGGGGCGCTCAGAGCCAAAGGCTCTCTCTCCCATCTGCAGGGAAAACCTGTACAGCAGCTCCCTGGGGGGCGGCGTGGCTACGTCACCCATGCTGATCGTGTTCCACGGGAGACACTCCACCATCAGCCCCCTGTGGCACATCCGCCACCTGGGTGAGTCCTGGGGACCACGGGGCGTGGGGCAGCCCGGTGCAGGGCGCAGGCTGTGCTGAGCGGTTCAGGCTGTAGAATTTCCACCCTCGGGACCAGGACGGGCCCAGCCCATGGAGCCCAGAAGCCTGCAAGGGAGTCTGGGCCGCACCTCCCTCAAGATCGGCTAGGCAGGGTCTGGCCCCCGGGTGTGGGAGGCCCTGGTCCTGGCTTCCGGCCACTGAGCTGCAGGCCCGGTCTACACTCCGGGTGTATAATTTTGGCTGGGCACATGGTTCAGTTTCTCTGTGCCTCAGTTTCCTCATTTGCACACAAGCTAACAGAAGGAACAGATCATAGAATACATGCAGATCACTTAGAAGGGGCACAAGGTCGCGGGCCCTGATCCCAGGCCTCCGGGCCGGACCTTCGAGGAGACCAAGAATGTTCTGGACGTTGACAAAGATAACAGTCTGTGGACCTGAGGTTTACCACCACAGTGCACACACAGAACCACAGGGGACTGGTGTGTGTGTGCCCACCTGTGATTCCACACAGTAGGAGGCTGAGGAGAAGGATTGAGAGTTCAAGCCCAGCCTGGGCAACTTAGCAATTTCCTGAGATCCTGTCTTAGAATAAAAAAGAACTGGGATGTAGTGCAGTGTTAAGGTCCTAGGTTCAATCCCTGGTCTGCAAAAATAACAAAACAAAACAAACCAGAAGCTGCAGAATGTCTGGGCACCTAGTGTCCATTGCTAAGTGGTTGCTAAGTCTCCAGTGCAGATTCCATCCATGCAGGAGCTCTGGAACATCATGCAGGGACAGCTCTGTGAAGCTTAGTTCGGGTATGGAGCTAGGGATTTAGCTCAGTGGTTCTGCCGCATGCCTCGCAAGCACAAGGACCTGAGTTCAATCCCCGGTACAAAAGAAAAGAAAAAAAGGAAGGGAATGGAGACTTGGAATTAATTTTAGGGAACACTGATGAGTAGAAAGGGGCACCGTCTTGCTAAGGGAATGTCCATGGGGGAGGCCGGGCATCAGGAGTGTCTGCAGGTCCACACGGCAGCCATGTGACCTGGTCTCAGGGCACTCTGACGGCCAAAAGCAATGCTACCCACTAATGGGTCTAGGGCAAGTAGACTCAGAATTTAAAATGTATTAATCACCCAAGAGGCTCTGGGTTTAACCTCGCACACCAGCAAAATTCGTACAGATATAATTTCTAAGACATTTAGCCACAAACAGCAGTTGTCACCAAAGTGCATGCCCCTCTGAGGCAGTTCCTTTTTTTTGAGACAGGGTCTCACTATGTAGTGCAGATTGGCCTTACACTCACTGTGTAGCCCAGGTCGGCCTCGAACTTGCAGCGATCCTCCTGCCTCAGCCTCCTGAGTGCTGGGATCACAGGCGTGCTACAGCGCTGAGGTCGCTCGGCACAGCACTCACCCGGGGCGGAAGCCGCACACAAGAGACCTCCCCCGAGGCAGCGCCCTCCCTCCCCAGCACCCTCGCTGCCGGGACCCTCCAGGGACCCTCCTCCGGGCCATGTACCTTTTGCTTTATTATCTTTTCCACTAACCTGCATTCCGTTTTTACTGTACATTTTCTATTCACTTGTTCTCTAACGCCTGTTAATTTCCTCCACTCTGCAGGCTGGAGTCCCGATGCCAGGTATTCGGAGCATTTTCTGCAGGAAGCGAAGCTGCTGCACTGGGATGGGAGACACAAACCCTGGCGCTTCCCCAGCGTGCACGCCGACCTGTGGGAGAGCTGGTTTGTCCCGGACCCTGCAGGGATATTCAGACTCAGCCACAACAGATGATGTGACCCGGCACTGAAAAGATTTTCGTATAAAAATGTGGAACTGTCCCTTTGGAGCCAGTCCTAACTTGGTTCTTTCGGAACACTGCCTTTTAGATACATGAGGCATTCCCAAGCTGTGTGTCAGAAACAAACCCTACTGTGTGCAAACTGCACCTTGGGCCTAGGCACTCTCTCACTCATCTAGGCACAGTACAAATCAAGATACAGTGTGGAAATCAAGATGCTACGGAGAGAAACAGACCCATCTAGACAGCCACAATCAATCTGCTTAACACTGACTGACAGTTATATCCATACATTTTTAAAATTTCTGAATATATTTTTCGCATCCAAGTATATTTTTTGAAACAGGTTGCCAATCTTCTCTTTTATCAAAAAACTATTCTTTAAAACATGGAAGTCTGTAAAAATAAAACATTCATGGATTTTTAGGATTTCTTCCTGTATATTATTCTACATGCTAAACAGAAGGTGAATCGATCTCAGGTTTAAAGGGGAAAGAACGCCATGAAGCCCTGATATAGAAAAACACCTGTAACAAGGATAATCACGCCTAGTATTTTTTTTGGTGCCGGAAATTGAACTTGGGACCTTGCGCTTGTGAGGCAGGCGGCAGAACCACTGAGCTAAATCCCTGGCCCCCACACTTAATATTTTAAATGGTAAAAACCATCAGACTCTCAAATGAATTTAAAAATCTTCCAATATTTTTTAATGAAAAAATTTCACACAGTCATATACAGGGTGTGCCAATGTTTTCCAATCATGGCCTGCTGAAAGGAAACATCGAGACAGCGTGCTGGGACCGGAGCCCACTCTGCTGAGTGGCTGTCCTAACTGGGGGTGCTTCCTCCACCCGCAGGTAGCCTGCAGTGCCCCAAGTCTCACAGCGAGCAGTACCATACACACCCTACACCACCCCATGAAAAAATAACCCCATCGCCCCCAGTCCCTGACGCGAGGCACTGCCAGCCCCGCATGACGCCCATGTAAACAGCAGTACAGTACATCATTTAAATAACACGAGTGACTTTCACACAGCTTGCCCTACACACAGAAGATAAATCCATCATCGCTACAGCTAAAAAGCATGGTGAGACTCACAACAAGGATTTGTTTCTCTTATTATGAATAGAACCACAGGCTACATGCCTGCCCGGGGGACAGAAAACCTCACAGAGCTCTCACACGGCCGAGACAGCCTGTGCCTGCCTCCCTCCGCACGCCCAGGACACGGAGGGGTGGTGCGAGCGACCCCAGGTGTTTCTGCAGCCCCAGCTCGGAGCCTCCAGGCCCGGGGCTGGATCCTCGGTAGCACCAGAGAAAATGCACCAGAAAATCAGGAAGGTAGAGTTCCACCTTTCCATGAGGCTTGCTGCGTCCACAGTAGCAGACAGCAACAGCGCACAGCGAGTTTAAAGTCGCTGGCTGCTTACACTGACCTGGCAGGAAGACACGCCTACCGTCCAACTCAGCTTGTCTCCTGCCCAGAGCACCTGCTTAAAGAAGGTTATCAGACACCAGCAGCGCCTTGTGGCTCAGCCTGAGAGTTCATTTCTCATCATGGTCTGCATCAGGACCTTAAAAGCTAAGGATAAAAGGAGACTCGGTAACGCCCGGCCAGAGCCCCAGCGCCTTCCCTCTCAGGTCCCCGTGGGCTGGTGCCCTTGAGAGCCTCCGCTCAGCAGGCACCACTCTGCCCACTGGAGGATCAGCACTCGGCTCAGGCCATCCCCAGGGCCAGGTTAGCCCGGCCACCACAATGCCACACCGTCTGCAGGCCACGGTCACAGACATCGCACGGCCAAAAGGAAGCGGTGCAAACACGAACCGAGCGGGCCCGAGGCACCTGTCCATGCCGAACACCAGAGGTGACCCCTATGAGGGCCGCACGGCTGAGACGCCCATCTCTGGCACAGAAGGGCAACGGCCTCCACAGTTAGGAATCAATGAGAAAACTTCAGGCTGTTACACCGGGTCTCGCTATGCAGCCCAGGCCAGCCTTGAACTCACGGCAGTCCTCCTGCCTCAGCTTCCTGAGTCCTGGGCTTATCGGTGTGCACCACCATGCCCGGCCAGGCTGCTGCATTTTAAAATTAGAGATCAAGAGTAACTCCAGTGGCACCTGCCTTGCAAGTGCAAGGTCCTGAGTTCAATCCCTGGTACCAAAAAAGGAGTAATTTCCAGGAGAAAAGACTGACTCCAAGAAGAAAAGTCAGTTTCCTCATAAAGGAAGTATCACATATAAAACGCTGAAATGATAGTTCAAATACAAAACTCACGAACAAAAGCCCGTTTCTTCCCTCCAACTACTCAGGTCCACAGGCGGATTCTGCCGCACAGCCGTGCTGTGCTAGGGCTGCAGCTCCGGAGCAGGCACAACTGAGATGCCTCCCGAGAGCGGCATCAGACCTGCAGCGAAGGCAGCGGCAGCGGCGGCGGGCAAGGAAGTCCCGTCCTCACGCCTGGCTCCCTTCCTCCGACTCCTGCGGTCCAGGGCGGTCAGCGAGGGGAGGGATCCGGTCTGCGAAGGGCTGCAGCACCCACTGCCCATTCGGGATGTCACCGAATGCCAGCGCTCCTCCCATCTCTGCGCTGTCGGCTACAGGGAAAGGAACATGGCTTAGGTTGATGCAGGAGACTAAAAGCTGAAACCGTGGCATTCTCGGGGACGGGGAGATTTCAGAAACACAACGAAGGAGAGCTCTTAAGAAAAACATCAGCCAAGCCTTCTGGAATAAAAAGGTAAGCTCCTGTGCTCTCTAAGATACCACGCTGATAATCCTCATCTGTGACTTAGGGAGGAGAAGGGAACTCGGTTGGCTGAGAGCCTGTAACTTAAAGAAAATGAGCTGTAAAAGCGTGTTTAGTTTTTGTTGTTTTGCAGTGCTAGGGACTGAACCCAGGGCCTGCACACTGTGCTAAGCTGCCCAGGGTAAGCTCTAATCTGTTGATGCAGCTTTCTAGAGAGCAACCATCACATTCACAGTAGTAGCCACTAATAATGTCGCCCATGCCAACAAGGCAGCTCTGAGGAGGACAGGCGGGGGTCATACTTAGTCCGTTGGAGGAGAGGCCGCAAGGCTCGCTGCTGCATGGGTTCTCGCCGTAAGCTCCGCCATAGGCAGCTTCGTACCCCGGGTCATACTTTTCTTCCTTGACAGCCATCTTCTTTGCATCCTCTACAAGGAGGCAAAAAGAAGTGAAAACTGGTTTTATACAACGATTTTGTGAACAGCTTTATTCAGAAGTCACGAATAATTCTTTTCCTTAAATGAGATAAACTGTGCAGCACACACTTCCACTTAATTTTGGATAGTTGAAATGCTTCACAGGCCCTCATTGCCTGGGAGTACCCAGAGTAGATGCAGGCAAAGGATGTTTATTTAGTGACTAACACCCAGGAGGAGCACGCTGCCTAAAACATGGTTATTTTCTCTCCTGCTCTCCACCCCAGGCATGCTTTCTATAATGCACGGGAAACGAGCACTAGGGAGCCTGCGGAAACGCACCCTGTGCAAGCTGCAGGTCGAATGTATAGCGCACTTCCTGCACGTCCGAGCTCCGTTCGATGCCCTTGAGCTGGTCCCTCAGGTCCTTCAGCCTGATGTAGTAATGGACTTTGTCTTGGGCGCGGGGAAACTGAGCGCATCTTGCGCTGGACGATGGCATAACGTAACAGAGCTGGAACCGCAACAGTTCAGTGTCAGAAACATCACAATTCAATCTACTCATACCGAGATCAGAGAAGTTATGTTTAGTTGGTTTAAAAACTTGGTAACGACATAGCTATGTAAAATCAGTAACAGTTGTACTTACGGTAAAATCTGCAACATGCTTATTATGAAGTCAATAAATTAAAAACAATGGGCCGGGGATTTAGCTCAGTGGTTCCCCCACCTGCTTCACAAGCACAAGGTCCCAAGTTCGATCCCCGGTACCAAAAAACAAACAAACAAACAAAAAAACCAATGCCCCCTTCCCTGGTGTTTGTCTATCAACAGGCTTTTCTTTTCAATAGCAAATTTATAGCTCAAAATTAAAAAGAGGCAAAAGGGCACAGGAATGTACAATGAAGTCCTCTGGTCCCATCGGTCCCCATCTGCCCAGATCCCTGGCCCAGGGCAAGCGATGCTGTCAGTTCCAGGTTTCCACAAATACAAATCAAAGGTATCATAAAATTGCAGTTCCAGGAAAGGGGAAGAGACTGAATACGGGTAGGTATCTGAACTGCAAGAAGCTAAAAACAGGAAATGGAGCAGCAGCGCACACTGTGGGGTGGGGGGAGCCTTCATCCGTAAAGCCCTTCACTGCACACCGGCCTGGCCCTCATTTCAAACGACGCACATATGCCGTGCATGTCTATGGGCTGGGTTATTTTTTAAAGCTGTAAACAAAACCTAAAAATAGAAGAAACGCTGGAACTAAATATCTGGAGATGCTGCAGAAAAGAGTCTGTAAAACACTGTCACTCATGATGGCCCTGCATGTGACAGACAGCGGGGTCGCAGGCCAGGTAGGGGCTGTCAGCCTGGGCTGTATTATTTGTGTCGCTCTAAAATGAAGCTGGGGTGAGACACAGAAATGGGCAATTGGTTTTGCTAATCAGGGTCGTGACTCTATCCACAGGTTGTCCCACAATGCACACGATGGTATCATCTGAATTTGGCAAGTAAATCCCATCAAAGTTACTTTGCTTACAGTATATGAACCAGTTCCTCTCAATACTTGAGCTGCATAACATAACATCATTCAGACATCTACCTGACAAATGCTTAACTAAAACTCTTAACAGTACCTGAATTTTTAGCTATTAAAAGCTGATATATATAGATATCATTTGACAAAATACAGTGGCTTAATTTATAATAGCATAAATTGAAATGGATAGGGCTAAAAAAGGGAGGAGGGAATATCTAGGAAAAAATTCCCATTTAACTGATCTACAGATGCAGTTTTAAGGACTTACAGTTTCTGTGTCAGGGATCTTGTGGGGCTGAAGCCCAAATTCCAAGTTCTTAATCCTTACTCCAAAAACTTCTTTACTAAAAATTTCATAAATACCTAAAATGAAATACAAACATATTTACATTGCCCTAATGTCAGCATGGAGATAAAATAGAATTCAAAAGTAAATCTTACATTTTCCATTAAACACTGCTATGCGTGGCTGATATTTCTGTAATTTCTGTACTAGAATACGTCCTCCTTCACGGAATTCTTTACTAAAATTGAATTAAAAAACAGTAAAAAGAATGTAAATACGACAATATTTATAATATGCTAAATGCAGGCAGCTTTCAATAAAAGATCACATCGTGTATGTCAAGCTCAGCTCACAGCAGATCCATCCGATGTTCCCAGGTTACTGGCGGCGCGCAGGGCGGGCTCCAGCCCACGGAAACAGGCCGCGCAGTTACCTGGAGAGGTCCTTGCTGCCCGGCGTCGTCCTCTCCACCATGTTGGTAAAGCCAATGCCGTACTTCCCGGGCAGTGTGTGGTCGTCCATGTGGTTGAGCTGCACCTCACTCAGTCCCGACATGAAAAGACACTTCCCTGTGGGGGGAGAGGCCATCTGTCTCTGTGGGTCCGACAATCGAGGAAGCAACCTGTGCTCTACTCCCAGAACTACAGCTGCTCAGGGAGGAAGCTGGGAACCGGGCCTCCTCCCTGGTAACTGGTGACATGACCCCACCCCTGGACTGGTCAGAGACCGGAACACTCAAGCAGCTCGACGCTGGAGGAAAAGAAAAGCTTAAACTTCTCTAGCAAAACTTTAATAGAAATAGTATAGTAATAGTAGTAAATTCTGATCATCTGCCCTAAGTGTTTTTCATGTTACTCTTGGGTAATCAACTAGCATTTACTGAGGGCGCACTGCCAGGCACTGCACAGGAGGAAATGGCGCTGCACCGAGGGTGTCACCCCGGTGACAGCTGCCTTCAGACTCACTCCACAACCTGAGCCTTCGCTACTGCTTTCTGCTGGTGTGAAGTGTCCACAGAGTGTCTCCAGTCACGCTTCCTTCGTTACAACCTGACCGCCACTGAGCAGGGCACTGAATCTTGCCCTGGACATAAGAGCAATGGAAATCTAGTCTGTACTGGCAGAGCATACTGCACTCCTATCTCTGTAGGTAATTATTGAAACATTAGTTTTTAAGAAGCAGTAAAACTCACAGAAACAATTCAATGGAAAGAGAAAGGGCTAAGAGCATAGCTCAGCAGTAAAGTGCTTGCCTACTTCGAGTGAGCCCTGGGTTCAATCCCTAGTACCAAAAATACACAAATAAAACCACAATTAGTTAAAAAAAAGCTTCTAATAAAGAGAGATTTTTTGGGGGGAAGTAGTGGGGATTGAACTCAGGGCCTTGCACATGCACATGCTAGGCAAGCTCTCTGCTGCTAAGCAACATTATTTTTGTTTCTCTTTTTGCATTTGTGTGTGTGTGCGAATGAGAGACAGAGAGAGAGAGAGAGACAGAGAGAGAGACGGAGAGAGAGGGAGACACACAGGGTCTCATGAGGTTGCCCAGGCTGGCCTCAAACTGACATCCGTGCTGCCGTGCTGTCTACCCTCCCGAGTGGCTGGGATGACAGGTGTGCACCACCATGCCTGGTGAAGACAGTGCATTTAAAAGTAAATGAACCACTTACAAAAATGGTTTCCAGGTCCAGGGTAATGATGCCCTTTGTAAGCAGCCATGAGGCCTGGATTTATGCCAATCTACAAAACAAAATAATTGCACATTTTAGTCTGAAAAAGTCGAGAAAAGCTTTAAGATTTCAATAGTGTAGCAGCAGACAAAACTCAATTGCTGATAAAAAAATCTTTAATTCAGTGCCACCAACATTATCAATTAGTATTATCCTTGGTTCAAAAAAAAGTATTCCACATAGAAGAAAGAGATTTCCTTTCAATTAAATGCTTTTTGCTGAGGGCTGGGGATTTAGCTCAGTGGTTCCATCACCTGCCTCGCAAGCACAACGTCCTGAGTTTGATCCCCAGTACCAAAAAAACCACAACAAACAAACAAGAAAATGCTTTACTGATTTCACAAACCAGTCCCAGCCCTGTCCAGGTGGGGAGAGGCCGGCAGCATCATCCAACCAGAGCCCCATGCAGCCACAAGCCTGGTCCCCATGTCACCCGCACAGCGGCCCAGTCACTGACAAAACCGGTTGCTCAGAATCACGGCTGTCGCTGTGGGGTACTCGCAGGTACCACTCAAGCTCAATGAGTCACATAGACTATGTGTCTAGTTGCCCTAAGAATGAACACTGCTCCTCAGTGGAGAAACCAGTCCTCAGAACCAGACAGGGAGGGGAGGGGAGGGGACACAAGGAACTAAGATGTGTCATGCCCATGTACCCACTCTCCATGAGTAAAGTAACCAGTGTGGACTGGAAAGAATTTTAGAAAGAGGCCAAAAGGAGAAAAAGCACAAAAGTTCAGGCTTGTACAGGGTCACCCTGCGACAGGATCTGTACCCCAACAGCTGCCACTCGGAGCCTACGGGCCACGCGGCCCACGCACTCCCTCCCCAGGACACCACCATGCTCCCTGGGGGCTTCTCAAGATGTTCTTTTCACCAAAACGCTAACTGCAAGGGCAGCTTAGGTAGAGCTGACCCACTGATGCCATTTATACAGTCAAAAGATGACAAACATTCTTACGATCACGATGTCCAGATTGAAGGTCAAAATATCAGGGAGTGTCTTGGTCAGCAGCTCTGCCTCGGACACACCATTGAAACGGTCTACTTTTCTTTTCACTTTAAATGTGTCTGTAATTTTTTCTTGCTTTTCCTTGGACTTGGCAGATTTTTTGGACTCTGCAGGCTTTTTGGGTTCCACGGGCGTTTTGGGCTCTGCTGCTTTGGCTTTCCTTTTCCTTCCCCTTGGAGCCTCTGAAACGATGATGCCCAGAACGTGATGCAGAGAAACAATCTGGGACTCCGCAGCTTTCCCAGAAAGTGACTGGGGACACCCGTTCATCTAGCTTCCCAAACTGACCCTTCCATCCCCTCGCCCTGCAAGTGGGTTCGTTCAGGCTAAGCCCACCCGGTGATCAGACTCGTGTTGCCACCTGAGGTTACTGTCATCCAGCCTCCCCGGGGACACACAGTATCTGTGCAGCATTTTACAGCAAGCCTGAATGTAAATACACGAGTACTAGACAGAAGAGTATGTGGGCAGAAAAACAGGAATGAAGAGAAACATTTTCACTCAAATTCCCAGGAGTAGAAAACCCAAAATGGCTGGTGAGGTTGCCCTACACTGGACCCACGCTCAAAGAGGCACAGCAGAGGAGCGGAGATGCAGGCTCTAGGCTGGAAGCACCTTTCCCAGGCAACCCCCAGGGATCTGTGCTCCGCCCTACACCAGGTATTCCGGGCGCATTTCTCGAGCTGGGAGCTGGGCCGATCCCGATGGGATGCTAGACAGCACCGCGCTCTCAGCCTCTGGTGGAGGAGCACCCGCCAGCCTGGGTGCACCTCCTGACACTGCCCAATGTGCCCTGGCCACAGAGCGGCCTTTAGACCCACTGACCTAAGTTACCCAACAGGTTTTCTTACCCTTAATTCTTTTTCCGTGACAGGCGCTTGCTAGGTGGCCCACAACTTGCAGTCCAGAGTGCTAGGCCTATAGGCGTATAGCTCATGCCCGGTCTAACCTTCGTTCTATCCCATCCGCTCCTTCCTCGTTTCTCCCCTTTTGCCCCATCCACTCCTATCTGGTAATTCCCCAACCAAGACTTGCAGGGGTGGGTGGTCTTTCTTCTTTGCTGCCTAGCACTACTTCAGTTGCTCCCAATGGGAAGGGGCTGGCACCTGAAGTTTGCAGCTGGGGAGCCTCCATGGCTGCCCAGACTCCTGCCCAGAGCCAGAGACAGGACAGGAAGGAGCCCCAGGCAATGGAGTCAGGGTACCCTTAGACCCCTATAGCAGTCTGAGCCCATGTGGAGGAAAGCTCACCATCTGCACCCCACTCCTCAAAACCTGCTTGGCTCCTCTTTGAATTCTGTCCTGTCTGACCCAAGGCCTGCCTGACAGAAGGCTAGGGTACACCAGGGCCTCCTCATGTGCCTTGAGTCTGACCCCTCGGAGTTCACGTGTCGGGAGCCTGGCTCATGCTGGGAGTGGTGTGGAGCCTGGGAGACGCCGGGCTAGTGAGCGGCCCTCAAGCCAACAGGGTGAGAGCCCTTGGAGGGACTGTGGGGCCCGCTCTGCTGGCTTCTTCTGAGGCCATGTGACTCCCTCCCGACATGCTCTGCCACTGTGACACCGCCCACCTCCAGGCCTTCAATGCCTCTGGGCAGAGGCCATAGCCTGGAGTCTCCAGCTGGGGGCTGGGTAAGCCTCTGGGTCACAAGGTCACCTGTCGCCAGCGTCCTGTCACAACAGTGCAGAACAGGCCAAGGCAGGGGTTCTCTCAGATTCCTCACTCTTTCTGGCCACTATAGAAATCTACTAACCATGGCCAGGAAACCACCTTGAAGGGCTTCCTAACTCTTCCTCCACCCCTTCCTGTTGCCCTCACTTTCCCCCAGATCACTCAAACAGTCCCCACTCTGCTTCCTGCCTCCACATCCTTCCTTGCTTTCTGCACCTGATGCATCCCCTGTGTTTCCACTCATTTTCCCAGTGTCAGGCTTGAACCCTCGGCCTTGTGCATCTGGGCAAGTGCTCCACCACTGAGATGCATCCTCAGCTCTTCATTTTTGATTTTGAGACAGGGTCTCACTAAGTTTCCCAGGCTGGGCTTGAACTTGGGATCCTCCTGAGGAGTTGGGATCATGGGCATGCGCCTTCATGTTTGGCTACAGACCGATTTTAAAGATGCCAATCTACTTTAGCATCCCTGATCACACCCTCTGAGCAGCTCCCTGCCACTTTCAGGGCGGATAAACACCCACCCAACTGCCTGCCCAGCCTCTTAGTGTTCCTTGCTACGCCCCGGCTCCAGTGTTGCAGCCAGGGTTCCCCCTCCCGGGCTTGGCATACACTAACTGCTTATAAAGGAGGTGGCGCTTTATGACACAGAAAGAGCTGTAATTCCTTCTAGAGCCTGCTCATCAACAGGTGCTTAATCCAGCGTCACTGCTCTAAACAGTCATGGTGGCAACTACCTTGCACGGGGTCCTGGGCAGGAGCTGGGGCAGGGGCTTCCACTGGCATCTGCTGTGCCATCACCGGGACTGCCAGGTTCGGAGCTTCAGCCATCATCAGTTGATATGGAAACGAGTAAAATGCTTGAGCTTGCTCAAGGGAATAGCTGGAAGGACAAGTAGTTCACAAGGATGATCCAATCAGCCAAATGTAAGGTTTTATCTGTTTGCTTACTTTTCGCAGGATTGGTGCTCAAATCCACCAAGTGCGTCACCTCTGAGCTACACCCCCGGCCCTTTTAAAGTTTCTTTCTTCTGAGAAAGGGTCTCACTGTGTGGCCCAGGCTGGCCTCAAGCCTGTGATCCTCCTGTCTCACCCTCCAAAGGCTGGGATTATAGCTGTGTGTGACTGGGACAGCCCAAATATAAGGTGGTTTTTTTCCAAATATAAGTTTAAATGATCAGTTGTAAAAAAATATTCAGGATTTAAATATTCTGTCACCAGATTGTAGTATTTGCTTAGAGGAGGTGATGGGAAGAGGGGAAGAGGAAGCTCTCTTCTCTTATGCAGGTACCCACTTTACCAAATGCTCAGACAAAACACCATCTCTGTCGGATGACACCATGTGTCTCAATAAAACCTGCCAGTCGTGTCAAGTCAGCCAGACTTCCTCCAAAACGAGGTCATGGGAATTTTCTATAGCCAGACTTGAAAGGCCCATCAACCTACGCAGGCATTAATCTATCTGGCCACAAACACCATTTGTGTCCCTTGCCTTCAGTATTTATCCCCTCCAATGTAGGTTATGATTTTCTTTTGATTTATTTGTCTGTTTATTCATTAGATCTGGTTTTTGTTATTGTTGGCTTTTTGTTGTTGTTATAGTTTGTCACTGAATGGGAACTAGGAATAATTATTTTGTAAACATCTATTCAATTTAAAAGAAAAAAAAATCCCTAAGATCTTCTGAACATGATTTAAACTGTGTGCAAAGTAAGAAAGCTGGCCTTTGAAGAAAAATTGGAGGCCGGGGATTTGGCTCAGTGGTTTCACCGCCTGCTGCACAAGCGCAAGGACCCGAGTTCGATCCCCGGTACCAAAAAAAAAAAGAAAAGAAAAATTGGAAACACTTTCCAGTGACCTGAAGCCACCACCTCAAGCTGCTGCTGTCAGCCCAAAGCTAGGGAAGTAAACAGAGATATGATGAAACCTAAGATAAAGCTAAAGCCAAATAATGCCACTTAGTGTGCAGGAAGAAGAAAACATCAATCAGGAAGGAAACAGGAAAGCGCTATGTTCTATTTGGAGAGAAGCCATGCTTGCTGTGGCAAGATACTGAGCCGCCCTATCTGTGTCATGTGGAGGAAGGTCAGGAAGCTCCGAGGGCAGAGACAAGAGGGCCAGTTCTATGGTGCAAGTCACCTCCCAGTAAATGGTCCCAGGGTGGGGGCAAGCTGAAGCCTGCTCTGGGTAAGCCTGAAAATGACCCTGAGAGACCTGTGGGAGGGTGAGGGTGCTGGGCGCTCCACAGAGGCCCAGGGGACAGAGCACCACAGAGGTAAGGTGCTGGAGAGCCCATGGCTAAGAACCAGTGAGAAAAATATTAACCTGCATCCTGTTTTACTTTTTAAATATACCATTCATAAATTATGCAAAAAATGAAGATACAATGAGTCAATAAACTATAGTACATTATCATGAGAATACTAGGCAGCTACTAACAACTGATACTATCCAAGTTTAGCATACAGTTTAAAGTAGAATATAACAAACATTGTAAACTAAGGCTGTACATAGAGAAAATATGCAGACATGGAACGTAAATAAAATGTTTAGAAAACCCATTCTTTTGTCTGAGATAGGGTTTCACTGTGTAGTTCATTCTAGCCTCCAACTCACTATGTAGCCCAGGCTGGTCTTGAACTTGTGGCAATCCTCCTGCCTCAGCCTCCTAAGTGCTGGGATGACAGGTGTGTGCCACCACTAAAATGTTACAATGAAGAAGTAATGAGCTTAGAAATGTGCTCAGCACAAAGTAAAATGTTCTCTTTTTTCACAATTTTCTTTAGTACCACTAATATCAGTCTTAAATTGTTGAAACACTGGATATTCACTGTTTATGATATAAAAATTCTGATGAGCTGGATATAGCTAGGTTAGATTGAGAGGTCTTGAGAAGTTATACTCAAGAGAATATTGTCATAAAATGAACTGGAATTGTTTTGTTTTTGGTACCAGGGATGGAACTCGGGACCTTGCACTTTCGAGGCAGGTGACAGAACCACTGAGCTAAATCCCTGGCTGAATTGGGACTTTGAATGTGGCCAGTGGGTTTCCAGAGTGTGACTGTACTCGCTTTCAGACTGATCATGTGAGAGCAAAGACATAGTTACCATAATTTGTGTTATGGTTTAGCTCTAGAATGTCCCTCAAACTCTCCTGTGCTCAGAGGTGGGGCTCTGGAAGGTGACTGTATCACGGAGTGTGACACAGCTAAACATGCTGTTAGGGGGTAGGTGGGGCCCGGTCTGAAGAGACAGCTCACTGGGGGTGTGACTTGGAAGGTCTACCACCTTTCTGGGCTCCTCCCTTCTCTGCTTCTTGGCTGCCATATGAGCAGGTTTCCTCTATGCCAGGCCCTTCCACCACCTCAGAGAACTTTGGACTTTTCAGCAGTGCTGGAACTGTTAACCCTTTGGGAACCCTTAGAGATGGACTAAACACATTTTACATAAAAAGATATACACAAGTCCTTTGGAAGCCAGGGACAGAATGTTACAGTTTAGATCTAGAATGACCCGTAAAACTCCCATGTGCTGGGGCAGGGGTGTGTGTGTGCTTTTGGAACATGACTGTACCATGGGGGTGCTATAACTAATAGGAGATGGCCTGGGATGAAGACAGGTCACTGGGGTATGACTTGGAAGGTGTATCTCTCCTTGGCTCCTTTCTCTCTGCTTCCTGGCCACCATGATGTGAGCAACTTTCCTCCACTTCAGACCCTTCCACCATGTCATTTCTGTGTGCCAACTATGCAACGAAACGTCTGAAATTGTGAGTGAAAATAAACCCCTCTGCCCTCCTCTTTTACACTGTGGGTGTCAGGTATTTTGTCCCAGAGACAAGAAAGTATAAGATATATTTGTTTGTGTTTTGTAGTCCCAAGGATCAAACCCATGGGCTTACACATGCCTCACAAGGTCACAATGAATGAATGACCTAAAGAATACAGGAGGTTTGTTAGCTTATCACATTGTCAAGAAGGCAATCTACCTGCTACTATCCCTATATTTTGTGCTGCCATTCTGACAGACAGGTTCCATTTAGAGTACCTGACAAAAATCCCCAAATCCCCTCTAAACCGAGGAGACATCATTCACATTATAAAAGGCTTCTTCACTTTTAAAAACTGTCATCTGAAATGTGGTGCCCTTAGTACAGTTAGGGGATAGTAAGCATCTTTTGAAATTCTGGGGCTCAGAAACTGAAACTGAAATTCTAGAAATTACTGTTGGCAAGTAAGAAGTGAATAAAGAAACTCTATCTTAGAGATATGTATCGCCTTTCAAAGAAAACCAGAAACTTACCTATGACAACGTATCCCTTAAACTTTTCTAAAAATGATCTGTGGCATTTTATAATAAAATACATAGTTCATATGTAGATGGCCCCAAGATCCTCGCACTCTCGTAAGTGGGGCTTGTGGAAGAGGAATAGGCCACAGAGCACTATAGTTAAATGTGCTGTTAGTAAGTAGGGTTGGGTTGCAGCAATCCTCCTGCCTCAGCCTCCTGAGTGCTGAGACTACAGGCATGCATTATCATGCCTGTTTTATGACTGGTGTAATATGGCCTTCTCCTGAAATACAGCCAGGACCTAGGATTTCCATGGAGCAGTCAAAGTTCCCTTAATGCCCTCAGTGATCTTGAGCTTTAAATCTCTCTCATTCATCTCCAGTCTGACAATCATTTTCCTTAACAGATGAAAAATCAAAATCAGAAATATGTATTTGAGTCTTTGGTCATCTAACACCACATCAGTGGGCTGTGTGGAAAACCAAGCCCCTTTTTATCTTTTTCTATCCACAGCTAGCTCAAACAGTCCCTCCTACTCTCATTATCATTTTTGGAAAGCCTGGTCTCATGTGTGGGTTAGTCTTTCCTACCTGCACTGTTTTCTTTTTTTTTTAGGTGGTGGGGATTGAGCCTAGGGCCTTGTGCATACTAGGCAAGCATTCTACCAATAAGCCACATTCCAGCTCTTTTTAAATTTTGAGAGAGGGTCTAGCTCAGTTATGTAGGTGGGCCTTGAACTTCTGATCCTACTGCTTCAGCCTCCTGAGTAGCTGGGATCACAGGCATGTGCCAGTGAGTCCGGCTCCATCTGTGTTCTCAGTGGTCTATGTCATTCTTTTCCAGTCACTTCTGATCTGCTGTCCTATCTTGGATCTTGGTAAAAGTTCTCTTCACGCTTGAGGTCACTGGACACTTACTAGGCCTCTTACGTGACTCCTCCTTTCTTCCTCTCTGGTTGATTGGACTCTTGAACTATTTATTTAAGACTCTTTGTTTTTGTTTTGTTTTGGTACCGGGGATCAAACTCAGGACTTTGCGCTTGTGAGGCAGGCCCTGGAACCACTGAGCTAAATCCCTGGCCCTGTTCAGAACTCTTGAACTATTTATTTTCCCATCCAAAGAGTCTACACATCTATGCAGTATTTTTTCTTTGAATGTTCTGAGTTTTCCAAACAAGTAAATTATACCCACCAATTTATCAGGCCAAAGCCAAGGTAACACAGACCACCTTCTGAGCAGTACTTAGTATCTGAGTCATTTCAGAATCCCCAAGGATAAAGTCTGAGTGTTATACAGAATTTTCCACATTTCCTGAAGGCAAAAGCTTTCCAAGTTCTATAGGTGAAGACATATATAAGTGCCAGAGCTTTGAGCAGAATCACAGTTAGAGTCCATTATTTTGCTGAACAAGGCCTTATAGTGTATAATTAACTTGATGATAGTCTTTGGTTTGGTTTCAAGTCTCCTGTCATGTAAGGTCGCAAATATGAGAGATTTCTACAAGGTCCGGTGAATACTCTCATTTGCAAAGTACTTCTAAGAAAAAAGGAGAGTATTTCATTCCAGGATTTGGTCCACCATATCAGAACAGAATAAAATGCAAATTTATGCATTGTTATCTCTTCTCCTAAACTTAAAAAAACCATCTATTTTGCTTATTCCGGAGCGCTGCTTCTGGACTGGGGATGTTCCTCGGTGGTACAGCACTTGCCTAGACCTGCGTGAAGCCTTGGGTTCAATCTCCTCATGGGGGGCGGGGCGGGGGGGGCAACACCATCAGTTACAGGACTGCAGAGGTCTTTTAGACCCTCCTTTTGCAGACGCTTTGTCATGTCTTGCAGTTCAGTATCCATTAAGCACCAGGAGGATAATTCATTAGGTCTAACAGTATTTGTATTTCAATGGAAATGATTATCTTTTCTCCTTATAAAGATCTGGTCACCTTATTTATTTTTCTCATTTAGCTTTCTGTCATTAATTCAAATCTTCACTTTTTCAAAACTTCGACTTACCTAACTCTCCCAATATATATATTTTAAAAGATCGTCCCAAGACCATTGGAAGTGTCAGCCAGTTTTGAGACTGACTCCCCGACAGGGTTACTCCCGTCGCCATCGCCATCGCCATCGCCATATTATCCACTGTGACTCTTAGCATTGCTCTTAGTTAAGACTCTGGGGAGGAAGCCATCACACGCGGACTGACTTTAATAGGACAGCTGGAGCTGGGCTCCTCGACCCCGTTCTCAGCCTGGTGGATGTTATCAGGAAGGCCAGAGTCACCGGGGTGGCCGATAGCTTAGGAGGGGAACGAAGCGGGGGCAGGGGCACGGAACCCGCCAGGACCCCGGAAGCCGGCGACTCCCGCCCGCGGAGGCCCGCAGTGCGCACGCGCGCCCGGTCTTTGTGCTCAGACCCCCGCCCCCCGCCCCCCGCCGCCAGGGGCTGGGGAGGAGTAGGAAGAGGAGGATGAGAGGAGACAGCGAGGGCGGCGCCGAGTTACCTGCCCGCAGCCTCCGCTTCCATGCCCAGGCCGCGCGGGCCGCTGCTCCTCCCGAGCCCACGCCGCTGGCCTCAGCGTCCCCGCAGAGCGCGCACGGCGACAGGACGACACGGAGACTTGACCCGACGGCCGACTAAGGAGACCGCGATGGCCTCAGCTCCTCCTGCCGGACGCTGTCCGCGCGGCACTTCCGCTCCGCGGCGCGGTCATCACGTGACGCTTCCAACCAATCGTGTCCCCTCGCGGGGCGCCTCTCTGCCGCGCGGCCAGTCGGGAAGGGCTGTGTACGCGGGCGTCTGCGTCTCTTAGCTGTGCGGAGTGGTTCAGAGGTTTTCATCCCAAATTTATCCCAATTAAAAACTGTCTCCAGGGCCGGGGATTTACCTCAGTGGCGTCAACGCCTGCCTCGGAGGCAGAAGGTCCCGAGTTCGATCCCCGGTACCAACAACAACAAAAAAACCTGTCTTCATTAGTTGTCAGCCACCGTGATGGGGGTGGGAGACCGGAATCAAATCTTGGGAGTCCAGGCCACTGTACGGAATGGGCCTCCGTTTCCTGATTTGTAAAAGCAGGCTGACTGTTCAAATGCGCTTCGGGTATGTGAACGTACTAACGTTTGAAGTCCATAATGCTGGATGCCACTCAAGCATCACCAGGCGGATTAACTCCACTTTTATTTCTCATGGTTCTTACGGTGGGTTGGCTGTGTGTGTGTATGTGTGTGTGTTATTTTTGGATTTTGTTTTTTAGTTTTGGAGCATTGAACTCTAGGGCACTGCATCACTGAGCTACATCTCTGCCCGATTTTTTTTTTTTTTTTTGAGAACAGGCCACTTAACTTGCCCAGATAGGACTCCATTTTGGGATTCTGGATCTTGTGAACCTCCTGCCTCAGCCTCCATAGTGCTGGCTTACAGTGGGTTTTGTTTCATCAGTTCTCAACTTCTGTTACTGGTGTGTGTGCAAGGACTTCATCAGCTAACTAACTCTTCAGAGACAAGCGTTTCTGTTTCTCTAGTTTACACGATGAAAAACGTGCCAGTGCTAACAGATAAATCCAAACCCTCCAGGCTTACACCAGCAAAGGTTTATTTTTCATTCGTGAGACACGTGACCTGGGAGAAGGCTGGTGCTCTGTGTCATAGTTACTCAAGGATCCAAGAAAGATCTTTCACGAGTAAATACTTTCATAAAGGTCTTACTTTTCTTGTTGCGGAGACAAAATATCCAACATCCAAAGTTAAAGGAGGAAAGGTTTATTTAGCTCAGTTTGTAGATGTTTCAGTCCATAATTGGCCATCTGAGACCTATCAATCCTTTGATCTGCCTAGAAAGCGGGGGTGCGAGGGCTAAACAAAGACGAGAGACAATTTAATCATACATGGGGGCTGGCAGGTCAGTGCCTCAAGGTGGGCAAAGACAAACTCTGAGCTAGCCACTATTTATTGGGTACACACAATAATTGGAAGTATTGGATGACTCAGGGTGGTAATCATATGTTGATGAGAATGGTGAGATGGGCAAAGCATTCTTACAATAGTACATGGGACAAGATAGCAGGCTAATAAGGAATTTTTCCTTTCTTCCCCCAGGTGACACCTTTCTCTCTCTTTTTTTTAATTACTATTTGGGTTTCAGAGTACCAGGATATCTTCAGCTGATGTAATCTTTTCATTTTGTACCCGGGATCAAATTCAAGACCTTGTGCTTTCGAGGCAGGTGGCGGAACCAGTGAGCTAAATCCCTGGCCCAGCTGATGTAATCTTGCCCTTGAGGGTCACAGTATTGCTTAAACTTGTGACTGGAGGTAGATGGAGTTATGTTTCCATATGCCATAGCTGGCTTGCAGGAAAAAGACTAGGTATTAGACAGCCCTAGTCATAATTTAATTATGAAATGATTTTTCCACAAAATTATATAGAATGGCTCCTGAAATCAGCTGACTCCAAGGCAGGGTGGTATCGAAGAGGAGAAACAGTTCATGGCAGGCAGAAGGTAGCAAAGCAAGCAAGGATCACAGCTCTTTCTATTCCTTATATCTTATCCAGGCTAGGGCAGGTAGCACTCACACCCTTAATCCTAGTGCCCTTGAGCCTAGAACTGTACCGTGAATCAACTCCAGCACCACATACTCTAGATCCAGCCACCTTTGAAAAAGCCCCACCTATGACCACATGAGGTTTTGGGGGGATATCTGAACACAAACCGTAACAGGTAAATTTGGATTATACTGTTAGAAATGTAAATGAAACTATTTTTTAAATTATGGAACTTTTAAAAATACCCTGTCCATTAGACAGGTATCCAGTGAATATTTGCTGAATGAATAAACAAAAGCCCATCCTCTCCTCTGGTTTTCTTAGGACTCAGGACCACAGTCTTCAAAAGTTCCAAAAGCAGGTAGTTTGCTTCAGTTACTCCACAGAGAGCCTGCTGGCTACTGAAATGTGAGCTGCAAACTCACTCCTGGGTAACCCTGGGCAGCAAGGAGCCCCCACCATGGGTTGTACTACCTTCTGGGTCCCAGCAGCTCCATTCATTAGACCAGGGGCCTCTGCTCAGTCCTGCCCAGCAAAAGGAAGCTTATGGGACAATGATCCTGAGAAGGGGATGCAGTTGAAGCCAGGTGGCCTTCAAGCCTTCTGTGTCCCTCTCAGCCTCAATCAAATGTGGAAGACAAATTTGATCTGCCGTGAGCCTGGCCTCCCAGAGCTTCAGAAAGCCCAAGAGGAGGGACTCCAAATGTGCCGCTACTTCAGAGAAGCTGTTTGTGGCAGGACAAATGAAAGAAGCACAATACAGCAAGGGGTGTGTCACTTTCCTGTTTCCCTCTCTTCCTCCTAATGCCGCCTCTCCCTTGCAGGAACCTAGGGGGCTTGCTTCCTTCTTAGCTGACATTAAGACATCTTGTCAACAAGGTTGGCTCCTGGACAGGATTTTTTTTCTTTCTTTTTTTCTTCTTTTTTGGTACCAGGGATCAAACTCGGGACCTTGTGCTTGCGAGGCAGGCGGCAGAACCACTGAGCTAAATGCCTGGCCCTGGACAGGATTTTTCAAACTGGGACTCTTCGTTAACAAGTGGGTTATCAGTGTCCTTACTGAATATGGGGACCTTGGAGACCAGCAGCTCACAGCAATGAGAACACGTGGTGAAGGTAGAGGTTATGTTTGTAACCGTGGTCATGATGTTGATGGTACTTTTCCCTACAGAAGCCAGCATTTCCTGACTGTTGAATATGTGCCCTCGGCTGCTCTGTCCTTGGCATGTATTAACTCGCTTAAACCCCCGGATAACTGTAGGAGCCAAATGTTGTACCTTAGTGCATTCAGTTGCCATAACTAAACCCCGTAAACTGGGTGGCTTAGGACCAGCTCTGGCAGCTAGATGACCACCATCAGGCACTGGTGGATTCGGGGTCTGGGGAGGCCCTGCTTTCTGGTGAAAGGATGGCACCTGTTAGCTGCATGCTTGGTGGTGGAATAGGAGAGTAGCTCTCTGGGCCTCTATTACAAGGGCTGTACCCTCATGACCTAATCGCCTGCCAGAGGCCCCATCCAACACCATCACACTGGTGACTAGGTTTCAACATTTGAATGGGGGAATTAATATTGTGTCCACTTTATAGTTCAGGTCCAAAGGAGAATTCCCTCCTGCTCCCGGGAACTTAAGTCTCTTCTTGCATTCATTCCTTCAGCTGACTCCATGAGATCCACACACATTATGGAGGACAACCCACTTTATCCAAGTGGACCTGTTTAAATGTTCTGGGTGCTGTGCCTAGCTAAGTCAGTGCGTAATATTAATCATCAAAGTCACAACTATTATTATGTACATTTTACAAAAAACCCAGACCAATACGGTGGGCAATGTCTGTAACCCCAGCACTCAGGATGCTGAAGCAGGAGGATCACTGTGAGGTCTGCCTGGGCTACATAGTTATAGGTAAGCCAAAATGACCTAGCGAGATCCTGTCTCAAAACAACAGATAGCTATTAAGTGGCAGAGTTAGGATTACTGCCAGGGCATTTTGGCTTCAGAATTCACCTTCACTGAGATCTGTGTGAGCCTAAGCAGCAAGAGAGGAAGCAAAAGGACATCAGGCAGAAGGGTACTCAAGCCCAAGGAGCTGGTTTGCAAACAGTAAACATACATTTAGAGCACTACATGCCTATGTTAATAAAAGGCAGATCCCACATCAATGGCTTTAGATTCCATCTTAAACTAGAGAACTAAAATCAAATTAAACCAGAAGTAAATAAAAGAAATAAGAAATATTGAGGGAAAAACCAGTGAAATAGAAAATAGAAAGAACAGAGGAAAATCTATGCTAGCAAAGCTTGAACTTTGAGAAGATCAATAAAATTGATAAACCTCTAGTCAAGCTTAATGGAAAAAAGAGAAGGCACAAATTAATTTGCTTAATTGAAGCAGTTAAAGATTAAATAAGTGAGGGCCGGGGATGTAGCTCAGTGGTTCTGGTGCCTGCCTCACAAGTGCAAGGTCCTGTGTTCAATCCCCAGTACCAAAAAAAAAAAAAAAAAAAAGATTAAATAAGTGACATAATAACAAGCCACATATATTAAAAGTATAAGAAGGTGACTTTTTTTTCTTTCCTTTCCCCTACCCCTCCCACTTCCTCTACCCCTTTGGACCTTTTCTTCCTATTTTACATTATCAATTATTCATTTTAATCCTTATTTACACTTTCAGTTTTTCATACCAGAGAAGCTATTTGGTATTTACACATGTGTCCTATTTATTTCACTTAAGAGTATGTCCTCAATGTGCATCCATTTAGCTATGCCTCTAATTTTTCATTCTTTACGGCTGAGTAGTACTCCATTTTATAAAAAAAAAACACATTTTCTTTATCCAGTCTCCAGTTTATAGGGACTTGGGCTATTTCCAAGCTTTAGCTATTACAAACTGTGCCACTATAAACATGAATGTGCATATATTGCTGTGGTATTTTGAGTTTTATTTCTACAACAATTTTATTGAAATGGACAAATCTCTTAAAGACACAAACTACCAAAGCTCACTGGAAAATAAATAGATAACTTGAATAGCCCTATATTTTTTAGAGAAATTGAATGTATAGTTAAAAACCTTCCCACAAAAAAAACTCCAGGCCAAGCTGGGTTCACTGGTGAATTCTATCAGACATTTAAGGAAGAAATAAAACTAAAATTTGTAAGAAAACAACCTTCAGAAAACTGGGCAAAATATTTCAACATATACTTCACTAAAGCAAATATAAGTACATGAAAGTCTGTTATTCATTTTCATTTTAATTTCTTTACATGGTAGGAGGTATGGGTCCAAGCCTTTCTTGTTTTGCTTTTGCAGATGGACATACTGTAAGTCATTAGTCATGATGAAAATACAAATTCAAACCAAAACAAGAAGACATCACTACCTATTAGAATCATTAAAATTAAAATGACTGACCAGAGCAAGTGTTGGAGAAGATATAGGGGAACTGGAACTCTCATACACTGCTAGTGAGAATGTAAACCTGTACAACTACTCTGGAAAAGTTTTTTTTTTTTTTTTTTATACCAGGGATCGAACTCTGGACCTTGTGCTTGCAAGGCAGGTGTGTGGAAAAGTTTGATAATTTCTAAAAAAAAGTTAAATATACACGTACCACATGCACCAGATGTTCATTTCTTAGGTGTGTACCTAGTAGGAAAGGAAGCCTATTTTTACAGAAAGACTTCTGGGTTTTTTGTTTTGTTTTGTTTTGTTTTTTGAGACAAGGTCTCCCTACATAGCTCAGCCTGGCCTCAGAGAGACTTCTGTACAAGGCTTTCTCATCTCCTACTGTTCATAGCAGCTTTCTATTAACCAAATGGAAACAACCAAAATGTCCACCAACAAATGGATAAGCCAACTGTGGTATAAATATATTTGGCAATAAAAGGGAGTGAAGTACTGATACATGGAACAAAGTGGATGAATTTCAAAAAACTGTGTAAAATAAACCAGACCAAAAAACAGTAATAGTGTTTTATTCTGTTTATATATAGCATTCTATAATATGGAAACTAATGTGACAAAGCAGATCAGTGATTACCTAGGGAATGAAGCAGTGTGGGGGCATTAGAAAGAAGCACGAAGAAACTTGGGGGTGATGGGTATGTTCATTATCTACATTGTGGGAATGGTTTCATGTATGTGTACAGGACAAACTGCATCATATACTTCGAGATTATAATATGTCAGATATCTGCATACAATTGTTTAAAAATGAGTGTATCACGACTTGTGTCACACATAAAAAATTATTCCTTCAGAATTCGTTTTTGTACTCACTTCTTGCTTAACTCAGGACACTATCCCAAAACCCATGTAATTAATGTCGGCCGCTGGTTTCCTCTTCTCCAGCAGCACCACGGCACAAGGGCACCGCTGCTGGGCGTGGCTCTCTTTCAGGTGTCAGAGGACGCCAGAAACAGGGAGAGAGAGCGGAAGTGACTTCACCTAAGTGTGCCGAACTCCACCCTCTCCGAAAGTGGCAAAGGCGTGCGCTTTCCTTTGTGTGAGCGAAAGGACAAACTGACGCAGTAGTCCAGACTCGAGCCCGTGACTCCCCACCTGCCACGGAAACCCCACGACAGTTGGGGGATAGTGACTAGGGGCTGGCAAGGATGCGAGAACTGGTAAAAAGACACTGACTCCTTCCCTCGGCCCCACTTCCTCCCGGGTCACGTCAGTGCGCCTGCGCCCGCGCCTGCGGTTCGCGCACACAATATTCCCCTCCGGAGTGGCGCCGGCTGCTCGCGCTTGTGGTCCGGCCCTCTCGCGGCCCACTCCGGACAGCCGAGGGCTCTCCGCGGCCAGACCATGCCCGCGGGCGTGGCCTGGCGCACCTACCTGAAGATGCTGGCGGCCAGCCTCCTGGCCATGTGCGCGGGCGCCGAGGCGGTGCACAGGTTTTACCGCCCCGACCTGGTGAGTGGGTCGGGGCTGGCGCGGGGTCCCGGCTGCGCGGGCGGCCTATGAGCGTTGCCGCGGCGTGGCTCTCACCACCGCCGCCTCTCCGCTCTCCCCTCTGCTCGGCCTGCCCCAGCTCCCTCGGTTCCCGGGGGCGTCTCGGACGCCTCAGGCCGAACCGCACCGCGCAGCAGTTCTTGAACAGTGGCATCCTTCTCCTCCGAATCGTGCTTGGCTTCCCTTCCTAACTTCCGGCCCGGGGCGGAAGTGGCTCAGTGCGGAGTCCCTGGGTTCGATCCCGCTCTCGCGCTCCTTCAGTAGCAAGGGTGCTGGGGCAGCTCCCAAAGGGTTTTATGCCCCCAGGGCCTCCTCCTTCGTTCCCTAGAGCACCGGGCACAGAGCACGCGGCCGTTTACTCCTTTGCTGCACCGGAATGTAAACCCCACGGAGAGACGGTGTCCCCCTAGCTCGTTCTTGTGTTTCACTCGCTTTAGAAAGCTTGGGACGTCGTAGGTGTCGGTAAGTGTGTGCAGGATGGAGAGCCAGTGAAGATAGATAAGCATTTACAGGAGAGAAGTCGAACTCGTGGTGATAAGCATTCACTGAATTAGGAGCTGGAGATTAAGGCTTTAGGGAGGTGAGGATGAGAAAGTATGGCGTGAACAATTACAGCAGGGTGTGCCGAGGGTTAACTGTGCGTGGATACAGTGGTTTGCAGCCGTGTGGGGGGGGGGTGGCCTCTGCCTGGACAAGGGAACATTTAGGGAGAACCAACTTTGTGTTGAAATGAATTAATTTCAGTTAATTTCCACTACAATTCGGGGGCGTTTATCCGTGTTGTCAAGTGAGGAAACTGAGGTTCAGAAGAGCAAAGGAGACTTGAAGTCATAGCTCACCGAGGCAGTGATTTAAGGCTCTGAAACTCAAACTGTTCGGTGTTTCTCTTTTTTGTTCCATTAATAAAATAATACAGTACCGCTGTACAACATCCAGATGAGTTGAGGTGTGTGTTGAGTAAAAAACTAAAGTCCTCCCATCTCCCTCCTGTTTTCTGTCCCCACCATTAATTGGTGGGTACACATACACACCTCGTGGAGTGGTTTTCTCCCACATAAATAGTTCATATACACATCTTGATGCAACTTGCTTATTTCTGTTAACAACTGTGTAATAGGCATTTGTGTGTATAACAGTCTTCTTTATAATCATTGCATAGTTTTTGTTTCATTCTTTTGTGATTGGACCCGGGGCCTTGTATGTGTGAGACACACACTGTACCCCCTCGGCCACCGTATTTTATAATACAGCTATTCCTTGTATTACATCTATTCCAGACATTTGCTCAATTCCCATTGACATTTAGATGGCTGTAGATTTTTACAACCTGTGCTGTCAAAGCTCCCTTTAACCACTTCAGACTGCTGCTCTTCTTAGAGCTCTAGTGAAGCTCAGGGATGCTAGTGGAGACAGGAAGTGACAAGAACTTTCTGTAGAAACGTGGTTTAGGCTTGCTTGTGCAGGAAGAGCCATCAGCAGTTCTTACAAAGGAAGGAATGCATCAAATTTGGCTGTGGAGATTGGCCTGGCTCACCCATATCCACATAATGGAAGGAAGCCAGCCTGCAGAGGCGGATCTGAAGGATCTCAGGCCACCTGGGTCTCTCCGGGCTCGGGGGTGGGTGTGTGTGTGTGTGTGTGTGTGTGTGTGTGTGTGTGTGTGTCCGCGCACATGTACTGTGTTAGGGCACCATATGCTTTACCAGTGTGTAAAGAATCTGTGTTCTTTCTCTAGTCTTTGAATTGTTCCAGCTGTTCCTGCTGCTATTCTAACAACCATCACCCACTTCCTTGCTTTGTAACTAAACCTCGTAGTCTGACAGCTAAGGTTTGGGTGGAGCTCAGAGCCGAGGAGACCATGATAGCTCCTGGAGCTCATGTGCAGTTCATCCTGAGAGAGCTTGGAAGGGTGCTTGGTTCCAGTTGTCCTCCACGGTGCACCATGGTAGCCAAGGAGGTGATTCATTTCTTCTAGTTGTTTAGGCTGAAACCTGGGCACTGTCATAACCTTCTCTCTCACTGCACACCAACGGCTCCCATGGGATTCATCTGAAAATGACACCCACACGAGGGCCACTTCTCACTACCTCCATTTCATCCCCAGGGCCAGGGCACTGTCAGTCCTCTCTCCTGCATTATTTCAGCAGCTTCCTGACTGCCTTCTGCCTTCTGCTGTCTTTGCCATAGTGTCTTCTCAACAAGCCACTGTTTGTCTTTTTTTTTTTTTTTTTTAAGAGTGGTTCTCACTAATGGAGTTCAGGCTGGCCTTGAACTTTCGTTGATCCTCCAATCTCAGCCTCCCAAGTGCTGGGATTACAGGTGTGCGCCATTGTCATCTCTTTTACACTTGAGTCAGGTTGTGCCACTCTTCTCAGAACTGTCCAGGGTCTTTCCACGTCAGAGTGAAAGTCACTGGACACCTAATGCCCTCCCAGTCCCCTCCTACTTGCTATGGAACATGCTGTAGCCTTGCTTTCTCTCAGATGAGGTGGAGCCCCGTCTGGGCTTCTCTGCATTTGTACTTCTGCCTGTTCCACTCGGGACAGCTGCAGGAACACCACCCTCATCTTCCCGTCCTTGTTCAGAAGTCACCATCTCAGCCCGTAAGCTCAGGAAGGGACGCTCGGCATCATTAGGCATCAGAGAAATGGAAATCAAAGCCACAGTGAGAAACCATTTCCTACTCACTTTGGAGGCTATAGTAAAACAGGTAGCAAGGGTATATGGAGGCATCTGAACCCGCAGGTGCCACTGGCAGGAATGAAAAGGGGAGTGGCTGCCTTGGAAAGCACTGATAATGCCTCCCGTGGTTAGTGTAGGACCCAGCAGTTCCACTTCTAGGTTTGTACCCAACAGACATGAAAACCTATCTCCACACGAAAACTTATGTGTAAATGTAGAGCCAAAACTTTGAAATAATCCAGATGCCCGTTAGCTGATGAATGCATAAATAGCATATAGTATGTCTGTACAATAGAATATTATTTAGCAAGGAATAGAAATTATGTACAGGTCTATGTGACAGTATGGATGAACCTTGAAACCATTAAGCTGTGTGAAAGGACCCAGTCACAAAGGACCACACATTCTGTGTTTCCCTTTCTGTGAAATACCCAAAAGCCAGGTGTGGTAGCACATACATGTAATCCCAGCACTCAGGAGGCTGAGGCAGGAGGATCTCAGTGAGATCAAAGCCAGTGTGAACTACAGAGCAAGACCTGTTTTAAACAAAACAACATCCAGAATAGGTGAATCTATGGAGACAAAAAGAATAATTCTGGGGGTGGCAGGGAGGGTTGTATTGAAATGGGAGTTATGCTAATGGGTATGGAATTTCTTTTTGGAGTGATGAAAATGTTCTGAAATTTATTGTGGTGATTCACAGTTCTGTGAATATATTATACTAAAAACCATTGAATTGTACATTTTCCTTGTATGTGGTGCTTGGGATCAAACCCAGGACTTCCTGTGTGCTAGGCAATCACCACTTCTGAGCTATACCCTCAGCTCAGAATTGTACACTTGTTATTAAGCAGTACTGGAGATGAACCCAGGTCCTCCATACTGAGTTATATCTTCAGCTCTTTTTATATATATAATTTTTATATTGAGTCAGGGTCTCACTAAATCTCTAGGTTGCCAAGCCTGGGCTTGAACTTGAACTTGGCATCCTCCTGCCTCAGCCTCCCAGAGTCTGGAATTATAGACATGTGCTTCCACTAGCAGCTCTGGATTGTACACTTAAAATGAGAAAGTGCTATAGTATGTGAATTATGTCTCAACAAAATTATGACAAAGGAAAGTCATGTCTTGCCTTTCTTGTCCACCCTCCCCGAAGACACAGCTACAGTGGTTTTGCTCGTTGCTGTCTCGCTCATGGTCTGCATGTGTGTGTGTTGAGCTGGTGTGACCTGTCCTGCTTAAGACAGTGCAGGGTGATAGATCCTACACCCGGCACTAGAAGGGGGTTCAGACCAGCCCGAGGCTCTCAGTAAAGACTGATTATTGAGTAGGAAGTGAAGCAGTTTTTGTTCTTTTTTCTCTTTAATGTTACGTTGAATGGCAATCTTAACATAGCACTAGCATTTTAATGGGGTTTTGGTTTGTTTGTTTTTGTTTTTTTGTAGACAATACCTGAAATTCCACCAAAACCTGGAGAACTCAGAACAGAACTTTTGGGACTGAAGAAGCAAAAACACGAACCTCCAGTTTCTCAGCAATAGAAATTTCAAATATAGCTAGGCCAAGAGGCCTGTGAATAAGTTGTATATTTTTTTAATTTATTGAATCCAGCTCCTCATCCTTAAGCATCTAATTCAGCCTAACTGCCAGAGGAGTGCTCCAGGGATAGGCACTGGGATGGTGAAATTTTCTTATGCCCAAGTGCACATCCTGAGCTTCCTGAGTGTGATCTGGAAGGCACTGAATAACATGTGAAACAGAGTATTTTCACTGTCTCCTGCCGTTACAGTTCTGCTTTATTTCTCTGAGTACAGTTGACTCTAATGGCAAGTGGGAATTACAAATGTAATAAAAATGATGTTTACAGTGAATGCTTATGTGTCTAAGTTAATACTTCTCTAAAGAATGGAAAGTACCATGCTTATTAAACTGTATTAAGTAAAAATATTTACAATTTGAAGTTCTTTTGGAAGTGTGTGAATAACCAAATCTTAACCTTTGTGACTTGGGCATGTTGCAAGGTCTTTAACCTTCAAATTTGAGGAATTTCTCTGAATTTGGGAAATCAAATTAAAATTCTTCTCAAAAAGTATGTATATGGACCTTGCGCTTGTGCAGCAGGCGCTGGAACCACTGAGCTAAATCCCCCACCCCCCAAAAAAGTATATTTTAAAATAACTGAAAAAGGAAAAAAAAAACTGGAAGAGGTGAATGAGTATTTTATAGGTTGAATTGTATCTCCAGGAAGATGTTGAAGTCTTAACTCCCAGTCCCTTGAATGTGACTTATTTGGAAGTAAGGTCTTACAAATATAACCAAGTTAGGATAAGGTCATCGAGTGGCCACAATCCAGAATGATGATGTCCTCATGAGAAGAAAAGGCCGCGTAAAGACTCGGACACACAACACTTGTCCCTAGAAACAAGGAAGCTTCCACCCAGAGCCACAGAGCACAGCCCTGACACCTGGAGTTTAAGTTTCCCGGCTCCAGAGCTGGGAGAAAATGCATTTCTCTTGTTTGGAGCCTCCTAGTTTATGGTATTTTATTCCGGCCATCCTGGAAACTAATAAATATTTCACCTGTTTTTTGAGTCTATAAAAAGGTAGTTTGTAGACCAGTTGGCATCTCTTCTGGGCTATTTTCCTGTAAGTTTTTTGAATTCTGTATTTTTCTTGAGACAGGGTCTAGCTACATAGTTCAGGCTGGCCTTAAACTCACTATGTACCCCCGGCTGCCCTTGAATTCAGTGATCCTCCTGCCTCAGCCTCCTGGGTAGTGTTATTGCAGGCATGCGTCACCTGGGTTCCAGAATTCTGCATTCTTTTTTTTTTTTTTTTGGTGCCAGGGATGAACTCGGGTCCTTGTGCTTGTGCAGCAGGCGGTGAAACCACTGAGCTAAATCCCCGGCTCGAATTCTGCATTCTTAAAGATGACATCTTGCTGTACTCCTTAGCCAGTGAGCTAGTTGCTACATGCCAGGACTCTGTGGCCTGTGTTGAAGTCTTCAGTACTATATTTAATTTCCTTTCCTCCGTCCTGTCATTTGGTACTTAGAGGTTTCAGCACTAGGACCTTGGGTCCTGCAGGTGACAGGTGAGGGAGAGCCACCATGGTGAAAGGGATGGGATTCTGAAGACAAAGACTTGAGCTGAAGCTTGGCTATTTTATTCACTGAGATTGTGTGTATGAGATGACAACTCTGGATAATTTCAGGGCTGCTATTAATGGAATACTTTTTTCTTGAAAAACATTGTATACTTTAGAAATAGTGAAGCTTGCCACTACTAGCAATTGTAAAGGCTTTACCAGAGTACGAGTTTGAGACCTTTTTTGTCTGGGTTACTTTTCTTCTTGCTGAGACAAAATACCTGACACCGAAGGTTAAAGGAGAAGAGTTTATTTTAGCTCACAGTTTGTAGAGGTATTAGTCCATAGTCGGCTGGCTCCAAGGCAGCGTGGGCATCGCAGAGGAGGAACAGTCCATGGCAGGGCGGGCAGCAGCAGCCTGCCTTCTTTGTCCCTTTTGCCCTTCCAGGCTACCCACTTTTTGGGTGGTGCCAACCACACCCATGGAGGGCTACCCTTAACCCAGCATCACACACCCTAATCCAGCCACCTTTGAAACTCCCCACCTATGACTGCATAAGGCTTTGGGGGGACATCTACATGCAAACCATAACATTTTTAAAATTAAAATAATTCAAGAATGGTCTATGGAATATTAATTCACGATTTCAAATCTAGGTGCTTAACTTTCTCAGAATTTGGAAAGGTTTCAAGAACAGTATTATGTAAGTCATCTTGAGGTGTTATAAATCAGTAAAATCAGTATAAAACTAGTTTCATCAATTGAATTCCTAAGTGGAGTTCTTTTTTTTTGTTTTTTTTTTTGGTACCGGGGATTGAACTTGGGACCTTGCACTTGCAAGGCAGGCGCCAGAACCACTGAGCTAAATCTCCGGCCCCTAAGTGAAGTTCTTAGTTTCCATTGCTAAGCCAGTCTGTCCAGATTCCAGTTCCCCACCAGCTTTAGTATTCACACCTGGACTTGGTGAGCTTGGCCGTGTGTAGACATGGGGAGGGGTCCGCTTTCCAGCAGGAAGGGCTGGGGTCGCTTCCTGTGCCTTGAGGAAGCACTGGCCCTTGGCCCATCTGTGAGCGTGGAGCAGCACCCAGCTCCCTTCGCAGGCTGTGCAAGGTCATGGCTTGGACCCCATTCTTCCAGTCAATGACTTCATGAAGATGAAAGTTTAATTTTGTAGCATTAAAAATAGAATTTACCTAAAGTAAAAATGCCATCTTTATTTCAGGGAGTGCTGGTTCTGAGCGATTTTCTTCCTTTTTAGAAGTTGCCCCCACTGTGACAGCGGGCACTGTGCTGGACGCGGCAGCGAGGAAGGGCTGTCACCTCCTGCAAGGGTTGCCTCAGCCAGGTGGCATTACTTGGAGCCACAGCTCCCCAAGGGCTCCCAGCACCGAGAGCCTAAGGCAGAAGGGTTGCCAGTTCCAAGCCCAGCCTGGGCAATTTAGCAGTTTAGTGAGACCCTGTCTCCATAAAAAACTTTCAAAAAGAGGATACAGAGCTCAATGCCAAGGCCCTGGATTCAATCCCATGCTGCAAATAAAAAATCAGGATGGTGGTGTAGCTCAGTGGTAGAGCACTCAGTCTGCACAAGTGAAGCCCCAGGTTTGATCACTGGTCTCACTATGTGGGCTGGCAACTCAAGGACCCTCCTGTGTTGGTCTCTGAATGCTGGGATTACAGGTGTGCCCCACCACAGCCAGCTCAAAAATTTTAGGCATCTTCGTTTCTTAATAAAGCTGTTTATAGTTAGAAAAAGTGCAAGACAGACCAGCTGCACCCACTTGGTAATTAGGCCAAGTTAAACCCTAACAAGGCATTTATGAGACAGCCACTTTTTTGTACCAAAAACAGAGTATGATACATTTTCTGCTTCTTGGTAAAATAATTATAATTTAGAATTTGTAATTGTACAGTTCTGAGGAGCAAGTGTCAGATGTCATTTAATGGAGTTTGATGGCTTTGACTTCTCCATCAGTATTGATCAAAAATGGCATTTCAAGCTGGGTGTGATAGCACTATACCTGTAATACCAGCAAGCACTCTGCGAGGCTGAGGCAGGAGTGTAAGTTCAGGCTCAGCCTGGGTAAGACAGTAAGAACCTGTCTCAAAATTTTACAAAAGGGCTGGGGATGTAGTTCAGTACAAAGGGCCTGGGTTCAAACTCCAGTACCACCAAAAGACAACAAAAACATTACAAGGAAAGTACACCTTAACAATAGCATATTTATGACTGACTTATTATTTTTTTGGTACCGAGGATTGTACTCAGGACCTTGTGCTTGTGAGGCAGGCAGCAGCACCGAGCTAAATCCCTGAGCCCATGCTATTCCATTTTATAAGAACTGCAGTAGAGTCCCTGGGTATGTGTGCACATATGTACTAGGGATCAAATCCAGGGCCCTGCTGTTGCTAGGCAAGATGGTCAGTCCTAAGTGTATTTTCAGAAAGACATACTCAAGTAGGGAAGCTGGTGATGTCAAAGCGATTACTGCAAAGTAACCTAGAAAACTACCTGAAGGTTATGGGGGCGCCGAGGGGCGGTAGAGAAAGCACATAATAAACACAAGCAGCCCATAGAGAGTACTAGCGTATCAGGAAAATTGTGCCATCTTTAACAAAACTTACAGTACATACACTAGGTTCACAGAATTTGACACACACATGACTGAACGTGCATCCAAATGAGACCCCTTTTCCTAGTCTGGTGTTCCTAAGTAACAAAGCTGGGTGTGGTGGGACAGACCTGTCAGCTCACTGCTTGGGAGGCAGGCAGAGGCGGGGGCAGGAGCACTGCAGATTTAAGGCCAGCCTAGGGAATTCAGGAGGGAAGGGCTGGAGATGCAGCCCGGGGGCAGAGCGCTTGCCTTGCCTGTGTGAGGCCCTGGGTTCCATCCCCAGTGCCCCAAGGGTGTTCCGTGAGATGCACCATGAATAGAACCAAAACACTGTGTATTTGGGATCTTTTTTATTTTTATACACATGACAAGATTTTACACCAAGAATATTCAGTTAAATAGTACAAATTTACATTCATGAGGAATGTTAAAAAAAAATTCAACTAAAAAATCCACTTCTTCCTGTGACCCACAATCCAACATTTTACAGTGCAGGGGAGATGGGGGTGGGGAGCATCCAAAACAAGTCTCTCTCAAAAGAAATGACTTCACATTCCCTCTCCACACAGGAGCCAATGGCAGAGTGTAATTTACAATTCGTCTTTGTCAGCTGTAGATTTCTGTGAAAACAGAAGAACCAGAGCTCGTTAAACGCCAGCAGAAGGGAAAACAATTGAAGTGGGCTGGGCCAATCTCCAGTATTTCAGCTGGAGTTGCAAAATAATTTACAACCTACAAACCAGATCACTGCCCCCTGAACTTTAGATATAATTTAAAATTGTAGGAAGGCACATAGAAACACTGCGGGCTAAGGGAAACACTGCTTAAAACAGGTCCAGAACGGCTGCGTGAAATAAATGAACACAGAATGGAAGAGTACATACATTTCTAAAGACTGCCTTCCTCAAGCTTCTGACTCTGTATGTTCCCTGCTCCATCCCGCACCGAGAACGATGCGCATCACTACCTACCTTCACTGTCTCCTGCTCTTCGTCATCCGCACCTGCATCCACTTCTTCTTCTTCGTCTTGCTCAGTGTCCTCTTGCTCCGTGTCTTCCGCTGTGTCTTCCGGCTCTTCCTCTGGTTCTTCTTCAACCTAAGGACGACACCCACCAGCCCACTGGAGCCTGGGAGTGATTTCACTGTGCCCAGCTGAATGCAAGATCACC